ATGTGTGTGTGTGTGTGTGTGTGTGTGTGTGTGTGTGTGTGTGTGTGTGTGTGTGTGTGTGTGTGTGTGTGTGTGTGTGTGTGAGAGAGAGAGAGAGAGAGAGAGAGAGAGAGAGAGAGAGAGAGAGAGAGATAGAAACTCATATTATATAGAATAATTACATGTAGAGTTAAATATTTCAAACCTTTATTTCTTGTAAATTTGATGATTATGGATTATAGAAAATGAAAAAAACTAAATTCAGTGTTTCAGAAATTTTGAATATTCCACAGCCAGCATCTGGTACCTTTGTCAATGTGGGCAGGAGTTGAGTCCTGCTGGAAAATGAAACCAGCATCTCCATAAAGCTGGTCAGCAGAAGGAAGCATGAAGTCTCTAAATGTCCTGCTAGATGTTTAAAACTCAGTGGACCAGCACCAGCAGAGGACATGGACCCAAACCATCACTGACTGTGGAAACTTCACTCTGGACTTCAACAACGTGGTTTCTGGACATCTCCTCTTGTCCTCCAGACTCTGAGACATTGATTATAAATGACATGAACATTTACATTCATCTGAAAAGAGGATGTTGAACCACTGAGAGACAGTCCAGTTCTTGTTGTCCTCAGCAGGTAAGACGCTTCTGATGTTGCTTCTGGTTCAGGAGTGGCTGGACTTGAGGAATGGAACATTTGTAGCTCATGTCCAGGAGTAAATCAGCTGTTTAGGACACCAAGAGTTTCCAATATTGAGCCTCTTCCCAGTATTCTAATTCTTTGAAACACTGAATTTTGTTTTTTCATTATTTTTAAGCCACAAACATCAAAATTACAAGAAATTAAGACTTGAAATATTTCCCTCTGTGCATCTGAAACGATTGACAAAACTATTGAATTTTTTCATGATATTCTAATTTTTTTTAGATGCACCTGTATAAATGTATCATTATTTATCCAGAATTATTATAATTTTTTATTATTATTATCAAAACATTTCAGTTTTGAGAAGAAACTTTAAAGTTCAAATAAATAGCACATTTGTCGATATTTGTGTGAACGCATACAGGCCTAAATTATCCTCTATGAATTATAAATGTAGAGAAACATGATGTTGTTCTAATAAACATCATAATATTCACTTGTAAGATTTAGAGACATGTATTCATGGATATTTGCTGAAGTTTAAAATCCTACTAACTAGCATTAGCATTATTCGCTTATAAGCTACAGATCACAACCTTAAAGTCTTGGTGTCTGAACAAGATAACATCTGTGGTTCATCTAATCCAAAGGAAACAGATGTTATGTCTGGGCCACAACACTCCCATAAAGATTTTGTGTTATTGTGGTGGTAACAAATTAATATAAATTCTCCTTCGAGGGGTGAGTTAAAGATAATGATTGTTCCACAGCCAAACAAGCCCAATGACTATCCACAGAAAACTGTACTGTGTGTGAGCAATCAATGTTTGGCCTCTGTTCTTCTCTGCTGCCAGCGAAGCAGATTTCAAATTGTGTGGTCAATATTCCTGACCTGAATATCCAGCTGCTTTGATACACCATCCATGTCAATACATGAATTTGTTACAGATGGTGCCCACAAAGTAACCACACATCTGATAAACTATAATGCTGTTTAAAAATAAAAATAATACAAATTTAAACAGGCTGAGATAGTTTGTGAACAGATTTAGTTAAGATCTAGTTGATAAGCTTTGTGATTGTATTATGAGCCGTGCCGTAACAATGAAAGTGTGCCACACTGCAGCAGCTTGGGTGCACTGTTGGGGGCCGGGACAAGTAGGACAGACAATTAAAAGTGGGCAAAGCCAGAGGACAGAAATCCATTGGACTGAGTCTGGTATGGTTCACTTGTGTGCGTCTGTTTCAGAAGATGGTCTCAGGCTGGTGTCTGTGCAAAAAGATCAGAAAAGTTTTTTGTAAACTCCAGGAACAAAATCGTTAAACATGGCTACTTTACGACGACAACCAAGACCCAGAACGGCTTCAACTAGGCAAGATCGTGGATCATGCTCGTCCACCTCGTCTTGCCCCGTTTTCTCTGGACCTTACAGTGACCATGAGGATGTCCGTCCTCAGCGCCGCCAGTCCTCCCCTGCATTTAAGGACTCTTTTTCCAGTCTCCAAAACTCCAAAAGCCCAAGTTCAACAAGTTCTGGTTCTACTCTCCAGGGATCCGTTCCATGCATGCAAGGAGCTTTGCCAAGTCTACAAGGATCTCTGTCTAGTTGCAAAAGTTCTTTACCCAACCTGAGGGTATCAGTCTCTCAGGTGAAGAGGCGGTCACTGGGCAGTCTAGAGACCTCCAGCTACAGCTCCAGTGAGTGGGGTAAAAGTCTCCAAAGTAGCAACTGCAGCTCTAGCGACGATGACTGCAGCTGGGATACAAACAGCTGGAGCTCAGGGGTTACCTGCCTGTTACGGACACCTGTTAAACAAGACAGCTGTGATGCCTCAGGGGGCTCAAATGGAAAAAGTTGTTCCCCTGTTCAGGCATCTTCTCCATCCAGGACAGAGAATGAGATCATTTACCAAAATATTGTCTTCTCACGTCCAGCTGATTGTAAAAGAGACAGCTCTCCTAGGATTGCCACAGTGCAGAAAGACACAGGAACTCGGAGTATGTCCTCATCCTGCGTGAGTAAGAACATTTCTTCAGTTTCATCCCCTGATGAGGACGAGAAGGCAGAGGACAGGCGCAAGTTCTCCCAGTTTCTGAATGAAGTGACTGGCAGAGTGATAAAGTCCAACGGTAAGCCACCTCAGCAGCCATCTAACCTTCACCGTCACCAGCAATCAACTCCACCGTCTACCCCACTTCATCCATCACTTTATTCTGCCCCAACAAACCCACCATCAGCTACAAACTCATGGTACAGCCCGGCCAGCTCTAACCTTCAGACTATCAAGGAATACAACTCCAAGGACATGGCAAGCTCCATCCACCAATGGAGCAATATGCTACCATGCTGTAAGATTTTAGAACCTGAGACCATGTTGAGAAAAGTAAAGGAAGGGAGTCTTTACTACCCAGAGCATCCCTTAAAACAAAGTACAAAGTTCAACACACACCCTTCTACAGGGAGACTGTATCTAGAGACCGACATTGATAGAGTGAGACGGCTTGATGAACTGGTAGTTAATGGCACCCTTGGGAAAGACATGGATGACACTGTGCTGGAGAAAGCCATGGACAGAGGAAAAGATATAGGAAACAGGATTCCATGGGAGAGAAATGGAGGATTCGGGTTGGAAAAAGGAATTGAGAAAATAACTGAGAGTCCCTGGGAAGGAGATAGATGGTGTGAGAAAGGTAGAGAAAAGGTTAAAGAGAGAGAAAACGCCTGCTGGGAGCAAGATAGGAGAAATGAAAGAGGAAGAGAAAAGGAGAATAAAGTAGCGCTCACAAATTATGAACTACCTCCAAATCCAGTGGGTACTAGAGGGCGGAAAAACCCCTGTCCTGTTTTCAGCTGGCCTGAAGGATTTCCCAGAATGTCCTATAGGTCCACATCTCTGCCCAGAACTGTCAATAACACTGTAAGTCCACCACTGCTTTTACTGTATACCTCGATTGGTTCAAACATGGATGATTGCTTTTAGATTTTTTCTTTTGACTTGTGTCTTTTCAGTTGTGCTAACCATGTTGGTAGAATTTTGTTTTTTAAATTAAAAGTGACATATTCATAATAAGAATGCAGATATTATATAACTCAAACAATGTCCCGAGGACTTTGTCTAATATATTTCAAATGCCTGTGAAGATTTTTTTGGGGGGTTTATAGATGAAAACAGGAGAATGAAGAAAGTAAAAAGAAAGAAAGACGTGAAATAGCTTCAAAGAGTTTCTGTAGTAACTGCAGTTTGCAGTCAGCACCTGAAATGTTTTAGCCACAAATGCATGCTAAAGATCATGTTTTAATGCCTGGTAGCTGTGGAAAAAAGGCCATGCTATATATTCTTTCACACTAGAATGTTTTTAATCTCGAGGTGAAAATAGTGCCAGCAGTATTAATGCTCAGGTTGGATCAATCTGTTGTAAATCTGCTTTACAGCAGCAGTGCTTTGCACAGATCACTGGTTAGTCAGTAAGAACCTGGATCACAAGGTAAAAAAGATAAACATGTTTAAACAACAGTTTTTAGTGTGGCAGGATGAAGGTGCATATTCATCAAAACCATGTTTTCTTTGACCTTTCCGTGTAAGTCTGCTGCTTAAGCTTATTAACAAATGCAAACCACATTTAATGTGTAAAGATGAACCAACAGATCCACCGTGGAATGTGGTTTCTGAAACACAAATAGAAACAAAAACAAGGTCAACATTGAAGCTGCTTCTCGTTCTTTTTGGGCCCTTTGGTGAACTTGATGCCCTCATCAAAGTGCGTTGACACTATAATGACACATTCCCTGTGGTAGAGACTTGGAGCCATGCATAAATAAAATGCCCGCTCTGGTTTCATGTGAATACAAATGCATTTGATGAAGAGAGCTGAAGATGAACCACTTTAAGAACACACTGAACAGCTTTGACTGTAACAAAGAAATCTGAACCTGAAGCATGAACGAGTTCAGGCTCTTAAATTCTTAATGTAGTTTAATTTTTCTTTTCTATATACGAGACACACACATACACACACACACATATATACATATACGCATCATGTTACCTTATTGTGCTTTTGTGCCTTTAACAGAAGTGGTTATTTTAAATCCTGCAGCAGTGTTGGTTAGACAAGTCTCTGATCAGTGTTGATAAATGCACATCCATCCATCCATCCATCCAACCATCCATCCATCAATCAATCCATCCATCAATACATCCATCAATACATCCATCCATCCATCCATCCATCCATCCATCCATACATACATACATACATACATACATACATACATACATACATACATACATACGTACGTACGTACATACGTACATACGTACGTACGTACATACGTACATACGTACATACGTACATACGTACGTACGTACATACGTACGTACGTACATACGTACACATACATACATACATACATACATACATACATACATACATACATACATATGTACGTACGTACGTCCATCCATCCATCAATCCGCCCATCATCCATCAATCCAACCACCCAAAAATCCATCCATCCAAACATGCATACATACATACATACATCATACATACATCCTCCATCCAACCATCCATCCATCCATCCATCCATCCATCCATCATATATTCAGCCATCCATCCACAGCGCACAGCATAACATTTTTTCTTGTAAAATAATTATTACTTCTAATAATATAATAAAATAATTATTCATCTTGAATTTGAGTCATTCATATTTGGAGTTTATCTTTACATGTAGAACATCACCCATCTGAATACAGCACAATAAAGTTTAGCAAATAAAGTTATTAGTTAATGAGACATTAATCAGAAGACTGAAGTAGTTAGCACAGAAATTTAGCATGAATTCAGAACTTATTGCTTTTTGTGCTCGAACCATTCATACAGAAACTTGAAATAATAGCATGACACTGTATTTAAAATGATTTACTTTTTTGTCTGTACATTTATTGTACATAAATGTATCAATAATCCTTTTAGCACAATATAAAAGTTTTAGAAAACTTCTGCACTTTCCACTGCTTCTTTATTTACAAGTGAAAGGGAGAAAACAGATTTGGTTTCCAAGCTAATTTCACAGTCTTGTAGGCTGGCTGCAAGGACAAAAGAAATACATACATTATTTAAACATTATCCGCCACCCTTTTTGTTGTGCCTTTGCAGCTTTTGTGGCCTCTCACTACTCGCTGCAGTGTTGCACTGTGTCTTCTGTTGTATACGGATTGTGACCAATGTCCCACATTGATGGAGCGAGAAGCACGTTTGCCTGTCATGTCTTTCCAGTATATAACTCAAGGACGCTACGCATCTCTCACTATAAATTATTGATGCATAAATGCTGTTTACAAAATCTGAGCACACTCGATTTACTGCCAGTTCAATGTGTCAAGAAGCACCACAGCAATATGAAATAATCTAGTTTAATTACCTGGTTCTAATAGATGTTATTGTATTAAGAACATTAAATTGAACCAGAGGAACGATGTCAGTGAAGTGTTTATTGGCAAGGGACTGCTAGACTCCACTCTAAACATAATGTGTTGCATAGTCAAAAAGTAATATGTCACATTGGTGTTAGAAGTTGTGTTCCATATAGACAAAAAGAAAACACATTTTCATCAGAACACTATATCAAAATCTCAAAAGAGTTCAAATACCACCCAAGAGGGAATTATCAGCAGCTCTCCAACAAGTGAATCTGTGCAAAACGCTGCACTTACTCAAATAGCCGTCTCCTTAACAGAGTCAATTCTGATTATTTCGGCAATGGCCCAATCTTTCTCCTCCACTGGCTCCACAGTGAAGGGGAGGGAAATGGTGTGGCTGCGCCAGCTATCACTCTGACACTGTTGAGCAAACATGCAGTTTGATAGAGAGCAAATGTGAACACATCCTGCACAGTTCACTGAAAGACATTAACTCATAAAAAAGATAACATGATTGCCAATCTGGTATAATTAAATAGAATAAAAAGCCGTGACATGTTTAATGAAATGTGTCTTTTTATGTCATATACTGTATATTATATTGATTTTAGGTTTTACAGTTTCAATGGCATGTTGTTTAGTTCCATATTATCAGGCTGTACAGGGCATTTGAATTCACCCGTGTAAAATATGTTCAGTTAAAGCACTGACTGTCAGTGAGTATGAATGACGGCTGAGTGGACATGTCTAATCCCCGCATGGTTCATTTAGAGAACATCTCTGTGCTACTGCATCAGTTCTAGATGGAAACTGCTAAATAATGAACCCCGAGGTCGACAAAATATCTACCGTATTCTTCAGACTATAAGATGCACTTAAAATCCTTTAATTTTCTCAAAAATCGACAGTGAGCCTTAGGTCAGTTTCACACCTGATAGTCCGGTAGAGTCGGTTCTACTGGGGACCAAAATTCAGAACATTTGTTTACATTTTCAGCTGGTGAGGTTCACATTCACACTGCACTGAGTCAGTCGAGCCAACCTGTTCCCCCACTCGCCTGTGGGGGCGCTGCACCAAAAACTACTGAAGGAAACTACACGAAAAACTCTGAAGATGACACTTCTTCTTCTTCTGGAAATAAAAATAAAAACGAAGTGGTGTCAAATTTTAGCGGTTGTAGGTCTTCAGTTTTGTCATTTTTCAACAATGTTCTCAGCATGAGCAGAAGGTGAGGCAGAAGACCATGGAGAATGATGTTTTCCACACAAGGCAGCTGAGACGTCTCCGTATGAGGTATTATAAATGTGTGTTTGTTTGCCCTGTGCTGTAGTCCACTTCCTGCTTTTGGAGCGGTCTTGGTCCGCTTGCATCCACAACACATACGAACCACGCCAAAATTCACTTCAACTGAATCGAGACATAGGGTGCATTCGCACCAGCCCTGTTGTCCCAGACTCTAGCCCATTTGCCTAGGAAGTCTGGTTCGTTTGGGGAGGTGTGAACGCGCCATCGAACTCTGTCACGGAACAAAGAGACGAACTCTGGCCCGGGCTAAAACCTAGGTCTCGGTCCGGTAGAAGAAAACTCAAGCACAGTTCGAGTACAGTGTGAAAGTAAACAGACCGGGCACCGCGCCGCAAGCAGGAAGTGGAGTACAATGCAGGACAAACAAACACACATTTATTATACCTCATACAGAGCCGTCAGCTGTCTTGTGTGAAAAACAACATTCTCCATGGTCTTCTGTCTCATCTTCCACTCATGCTGAGTCCATTGTTGAATAATGACAAAACAGAACTCCTAAAACCGCTAAAATCTGACACCACTCCATTTTGGTTTTTATTTCCAGAAGAAGAAGAACAAGAAGAAGTGTCTTCTTCAGGGGTTTTTGTGTCGTTTCTTTCAGTAGTTCTTGGTGCAGCGCCCCCACAGGCGAACGGGGGAACATGTTGACTCGACTGCACAGTGCAGTGTGAATGCAAACGCACCAGCTCAAATGTAAACTAAATGTTATGAATATTGGTCCCCAACCGAACCGAGTCTACCGGACTATCTGGTGTGAAAACAACCCTGGGTATTTAGGCAGACCAGAGTTTGCTTTTTTGGTCCACATCAGACTTCAGTTGCTCATTCACACCTCCCCAAATGAACCGAACTTTCTAGGAAAACGGACTAGAGTTCGATTAAAACGGACTGAACAGGGCTGGTGTGAATGCACCCTTATAATCAGGTGCGCCTTATGTATTAATTCTGGTTGTGCTTACTGACCTCAAACTGATTTTATGTGGTTATTGTGAATGAGTTGAATAAAGTTTGACTTATCTGACGGTTTTGTTTCTCTTAATGCGCCTTATAGTCCAAAAAATACAGTACACAAACCTCTGAGTAACATCATGGACTCTACATTTATATTTTATATGCAGATTGTGCTCCTCCAGGTATCATGGAATGGTATTTTAATTTAAGGGGACGTTTTAATGAAACATTTTAATCTTTATTTTAGTTAGTTTAACACATAGCCTGACCTGATGTGTAGAAATTTCAATCGAGAGGCAACATTTAAAACAACTAAATCAATGCACATTTCATTCTAATTCTAATTCAGTAATACCTTCTAGGAATGCCTGTCTTCTCCTCCTCCTTTCTCCAGGCTTGCCCTCTGCATGGAGGGAAGCTGAGATGGAGTGTGTGTGTGTGGGGTGGGGGGGTGGGGGTCTGTCTCATTCAGCTACATGAGTCATCCTGCTGTATCATTCACTATGTTTGTAACACCCACACACCACCGTGCAGCAGAGTACACATGCTCACAACCCCCTCTGCACTGCTGTGCACCTGTGACGTTCATCAGGCCTTACCGAACCCTCCACGATGAATCGTCAGGCTGCACGCGACACACAAACACCTGCAAGCACGCCAAGCTCCTGCACCAGCAGGATAAAAAAAAAAAAAAAAAGAAAGTTTACTTTTAGGTTTGAATCAAAAATGTAAATTTGCATGACAATGTCTGCACATATGTGTTGAATTCGAAAGAGGCATCACTTTGGATCGCTGATCCTGGGCCAAATGATTAAGCCTAAGTGAAAATGTAAATGGGAAATCCTCCTGTGAAATCCTGGCCATGCATTATGCATGTGCAACAAACAAGTGTGCAACAAAAAGGAGCTGCTTTTTCAGCCCCCGCCTTTCGCTTGTGTACGTGTGCATGGACACAACGCTGCAAAGTGAGAGGAGTGGGGGGGGGGGGGCAACTTAAATTTCTTTGTGTTTCGAGAGCAAAAGAGGACTTTATGCTGACTGCAGAGGTAGCATTTTATTTCTCTTCAAAACATCAGACTTCAGGCAAGAAAACTAAAAATTATATCAGTAAATTAAAGGTTCTTGAAGACATTCCCTTCAACTTTTCATGACAGATTTGAACAGAAACTGTCCTGCAGGTGTTTTATTTGATTTTAGCTACAACACATTGAGCTCAGTATCTGTAAAACTGACTGCTACACCTTTATTGTGTTGGCTAAGCTCAGTCACACGTGGTGGTCATCTGAAATTGGGTGACTCCCAAAGTTAATCAGATATAGAACATTTATTGATTACTTTCTAGTAGTTTGATTAAAATCCACCCACTAGTTCGTGAGATATTTCGCTAACACTACAACCCTAAAATGGGCTACAAAATATCAAACGCATCATAATTTACCGAGTTTGTTTAAATGTTTGCTCGTTCTTTTTCATTTATTTTTTTAATCGTTTTACTCCCAGCTAGTTCCCCTGTATTTCTGGAGCACAGCCTTTTTCTTTCGCCCTGTTAATCTGACATTTCTGGCTCCCCGCCCTCTAATGATCTCACTCCTGACACAGCAGAGAGGAAAATAATAGATATATTTGTTTGCTGAGACGTGGCGGCTCTGAGAGCTCGTTCAGCACCAGATAAGAGGCTCCACGCCGGGAGATGAATTTGCTTGATAAATACGTCTAATGGTTTTTCATCTTGTCTTCTCTTCCTGCCAGGACTTGGATGGGGAGACGTGTTACGACGCGAGGTGAGCCTGCTTTCACTTTTACCTTGTCTTCTTCCAGCGGCGACACCTCCAGCATCCCTCTCCTCCCTCCCTGCATCCCCATCCCTCCCACAGCCCCTCCTCCTCCAACACGCATCCTCCTGCTCCATTCACTTCACAGCTCCCTCTCTCTACCTCACCGTTCTGTCTCCAGTCAGAATGACGGTAGAAGAGGCTTTCTGTGTCTAAATGCACGCTGCTCTGAAGAGGGATGCACATGCACATGAATGTAATGGTCTTATCTGCTGAAGATGAGGCGAAAAGCTCATAAACGGTAAGAGAGAAGGCAAAGGAAGTGCATGTCTGGATTCTGCTCTAATCATTGTTTTGAGTGGCGTGCCGTCCATGTGTTGCATGTAGTGCTTTGAGGAAAAGAGGATGGGTCGCCCGCTGAGCAACAGTGCGACTGAAGGCGCATGCTGGAGTGAATTAAAGCTTAACTCGCTGCAGCAGGAAGGAGAGAAACCGAAGTGATGCTCCTCACAGTTAGCTTCAAGAGTGTTTATTCATTTCTTTACTTTTGCTGTTGTGTGGGTTTCATCGATGTGACAATAATGAGGGGCCAAATGTGTTTGTAGCCCTCAATTAAAGATGATACCACAGAGAGGCAATTATGGCTCAACAAGCACATCATGGAAAAAAGTAGTTCTGGTTAAAGCAAACTCCTCACCTCGTACGGATGACAGGGAACAAAGACGGAGCAGCCGAGGAGAATTTATAATTCGGTGTTTTACTTGAATCAGACGATTGTCCTGGAGTCTTTTTGTGCAAACCTTCATAATCTGCATGTCAGCATAATAACATCTAGAGGTTAATTACTTTCCACCTTAAATCCTCCAGAGAGCGAGGAAAAACCAGTTCGGGGGATGATTCCCTGCTGAAGTGAACGAAACGATGGAGATAAGGCGGCATCAAGCTGCAAACTTTGAGTCTTTGAAGTAAGTTTTCAACTTCCTGCTTTAAAGAAAAACACAAATGAGCATGTGCACTGACCCTTTTGGCACTTTGTCATCTTGGCTCATAAATAATGCAGCTTTAGTTCAGAAGTTTAGAAATAGTTCACTGAACTTTATGTTTTATTGCGCATAAACTGGCACTTTCACTTTCCATTTATACAGTTATCACTGTCAAGAATACTCTAAATGATACAAGTAGTTTTAGCTCCCAGCACTGTAAGGCAAAGGCGGAGGAACTCATCAAACATCTCATGAACCACTTGATGTGTTTCAATAAAACTTGCAGAATTTCTTAAATAGATTAACTTCTATAAGTGTTTAACTTTTGGAGTTAATCCAGTTTAAGATGGCGGCCACAGCTAACTCGTGTTAGAAAATACAACAATGGTTCAATCCCAGTCAGTTTCACAAACTTCTTACTAAAATTTGATGTGGTTGTAGCTGAGAGCGTTTCTCAATTTAATGTCTAAGTGCTACTCATTGTGCAAGCTCTTTGCCTAAAACTTTAGCTTTAACTGTAGGAACCAAGCTTGATTGTCTGTTAGCAAAATATCTCATGAGCTGCTTAATGGAATTTAATGAAACTTCCAGAAAATAATCAATGGATATGCATCTATAACTATTTAACTGTTGGTGTCAATCCACTTCAAGATGGCCGACATGACTAATCAACATTAGTCAACACACATTACTATGACTCAGTCAAAAAGACAGATACTGAGATAAAATTGATATAGCAGTAGCTGAGAGTCGTTCGCAACATATATGAGGTTTAATTTTTAAAAAAAGTCTTCAGCTTAATTTTTCAATTTAAGGTAATCTTATTGTAAAACTCAAATAAATAAATCTACTTTTAAAATGCTTTGAAAGAAAAACATTTAAAGTACGTCCTGCCAGCCGCAGACCGTGCATCTTTGTGTTCTGAAATGATTCTTTTCATAGATCCGACAACTCATCGCAGTCTTTTCTCCTCTGTGGCAAACTGAGTGAAATCAATGTCAAGCCATGCCACAGTATGAGAACAGTACGACCGTGACATGACAGAATGAGCACATTATTTTGCTACATCCCCATTTCCGTGTGATTTATGTTTTTTTAATTAAAGCAGATAATTGAAATTTGGTTGTAAGTTTAATATGTTCCATCTTGTACTAATTTTCTGCTTCGATGCGCCGTGTGTGGACGGCAGTGACAGCTGTTCCTCTTACTTTTGGGTTTATTAATACGTTCCTTATCAAGTGGTTTGCAGGGCATGCTTACTTGTTACAGTCAGACTGAGGAAACGCTGACGGACCAGAATAAAATCATCCGTGTCAACATGAACAGGAAGGATGCATGTTAGGGGTTCTTTGAACCACGAGGTAAAAAGAACTACTGAGAAACAGATGACAAAGTCACAGCACCAGGTTAAGAAAAACAAGAACAAATTGTAAAATTGTAAAAGTTATTAAACAGCATGGGATAAATTTTCATTGTTATGCTGATGACACAATTATATTTGTCCATTAAACTCAATGAATCCAGTCAGCTACTTAGACTACAAGCATGTCTTAAAGACATAAAAACCTGGATGACCCTTAATTTTCTGCTTTTAAACTCAGAATAGACTGAGGTTTTGGTTTTTGGACCTGAGCACCTTAGGAATTAATTTTTCAGTCTTTCTCCCTCCTTAGATGGCATTAATCTGTCCTCCAGCTCTAATGTTAAAAATCTTGGTGTTATTTTTGATCAGGACATGTCTTATTCCCCACAATAAAAGCGTTACTAGAACTATCTTCTTCTACCAATAAAATTAGAAACATCTTGTCTAAAAAATGATGCAGAAAAACTGGTCCATGCATTTGTCATGTCTAGACTGGACTATTGCAATGGTTTATTATCTGTTTGTCCAAATACTTCTTTAAAATGTCTTCAGTTGATCCAAAATGCTGCTGCCAGAGTCTTAACTGGAGTTAGTAGGAGAGATAATATCTCTCCATTTTGAGTTTCTCTCCATTGGCTCCCTGTCAAATCCAGAATATAATTCAAAATCCTACTTCTAACCTACAAAGCTCTCAACAACCTAGCTCCATCTTATATTACAGATCTTATTGTTCCGTATTTTCCTAACAGAGCACTTCACTCTCAGACTGCAGGTTTACTTGCGTTTCCTAGAGTTTCCAAAAGCAGAATGGGAGGAAGATCTTTCAGTTATCAGGCTCCTCTCTTGTGGAACCAACTTCTTGTTTCTGTCCATGAGGCTGACACATTGTCCAGTTTTAAAACTGAAGAATTTCCTTTTTGATAAATCCTATAGTTCGAGTTGGAATTGTTATGCTGCCTTAAGCTTAGACTACTAGAGGACAAATTGACCTAATTTCCTTAAAATAATTGTTACAATTGAATAGTTTTCATTTTATACTATTTCTATCTTAATAATGTGATTCTTGACCTGCCATTGTGTATCTATTCCTACCAAACCCAGCCGGTCGAAGCAGATTATCGCTTGTCCTGTGCCTGGTTCTGCTGAAGGTTTCTTCCTCACGAGAGAGTTTTTCTTTTCCACTGTCGCCTTCATGCTCAAGATGAGAGTTCTGCGATGAATTTAAACTCAAAGCAGTCTGCTCCTCAGATAATTAAAGTTAAATTATTATTTTATATGTGAATGTTTCTGTTCAGTGCCCTGAGACAACTTCTGTTGTGACTTGGTGCTATAGTATGACGGAGCTTTAGGGCCACGCTAAAAAAAATAAAATTACATTGCTTGCTAAGAAAAAAACAAAACATAAAATTACAAAAATAAAGTTGTACGAGACTTTTTCTAAAGCTGTCGTTAATTTTATTTTTTAATTTTTTTTAATTTTGTCTTGTATCTTATTCTCGTAATTCTACAATTTTATTCTCGTAATTTTATGGCTTTTTTTTTTCTTAGTGTGGCTCTAAAGCTCCGTCGTACTATATAAATAAACTGAACTGAAAATTGTATTTGTAGCATTGAGATTAGTTTAACAATTTTAATTTATTTTTATTAGGTTCATACAAATACTTCCTCTTACCTCCATCAGCTATGTCTTTGCAAAACTTGTCTCCCTTCGAGACTTTACCTCACTCTGCTTCTCTCCAACTTGGAGGAACATGCCTACAGAGGCTTTGTATTTTTTTCTTCTATCATCCTTCACTAAGCTGGGCACGTATCTCCCCTCCTCAGAAAGCAGATGCCATGTGAAGTCTCCCTTCAGGTTAGCCTGGAGCAGTTTACCACCTCCTTGCGCTCTTATTCTTCTGCCTAATTATTTCCAGGACTGTAAGAACAGGGATTTATGCAGACTCTGTTTGAGAAGAGAGCAGCATCTGAGAGTGTTTGTTAAAGACTCTGTCTTGGAGTTTGTAAATGTGTCTGTTCTCTTCCATTTAAGCCCCTCTGACTCACATGTCTTAGGGCTCTCCTTTTAAAAAAAAAAAAATTCCCACCTCGCCTCCCTCATTGCTCCCTGGACTATTGGTGATACGCCTGTCTGCCACCAGCACTTATCCAGGTCTGTCAAAGCCAACTGGGCAGAGGCAGCTGAGCAACGTAAGCCTCTGTGGCTCGCACATACAGTAGACTGTAGGGCTATGCATTGCATGTCTGAAACGAAGGATGTGCTGTCACAGATGAACAATACTCTTTAAAACTCTGAGGTTTTAACTGAGATCACTATATCCACTCAGAATGTCTAGCTCCAACAAATTGTGGTTGCTGTAGCCATTCCCACATCACTTGAGGCTGTCCAATTCCCTTTACTTCAGTGGCTTGGTTTAAGCTCCTGTCTGTTTCTGATGGTACATCCTCTGTTATTTACAAGAAAATTCCAGTCTCAACAGGTAAGAGATCTCCTGTCAAGCAGTCTTTCTAACTACGAGTTAAACAATCTGCACTCGTTTTGTTCGCCTCAATAAATACTTCATTGCGCCCCGGTGGACTGTACATGCTGCTGTGTTTTCCATCAACATGCATATAATTATGCCAGCCCGCACTGGTTCTTGTAGAGAGAAAGAGATGGATAG